TGTTTTTCTTTCCTTTTTTTGTAAATCTTCTTGGTAGTTGTCTGTTCTGACTTGTCTTCAATTATAATGCATTATTTTCATTCTAAGATGTTTATAATTTTTCAGTAGATTGGACAGATCCATTAAAGGTCCCACTGAGGGCAACCTCAGAACCCAGAAGAGGTGGGGGGGGGGCTTAGTCTCCTGCAGCTGACTTCATACCCACTCAAACCAGTGATGTAAACCGGGAGAGAAGAGGCGATGCGAATGAGTCATATGGACAGTGGACAGCCATCAGACCGAGAGACGGAACGGAGACACTGGACACTCAACTGCTGCCCTGTCTCCTAGTTCGAACCCTGACAGCTACGGGCCAGCAGTCTCATCAGCTCTCAAGCTTGCACCTGTAGACTCAGTGGAACCAGCCATTCTTACCTGGGTGAATCGGTTAAGGAAAGACCTGGGCAAGCCCTTCCTCCCACCTCCTTGTCGGAAAGGATTTTGACATCCAAAAATCTTGGTCTTCTCATGCTGTACTTGGAAGCTCATTCCTAACTCTGGGACGTAGATTTCTCCTCGGTGGTCAAAGCAAGCATTGAGTCCTTCCAATACAGACTGAGACGCCAGGTTAAGCTATTTGGAAAAGTGTACACATGTTTAATGATATATATCATACACCCACACATACACACATCTGGTTGTCATCGTCCCCCACCCCCCGCCCAAATTTAACAATAAATGTAGGGAAGAAATAACATTTGATTAATTCTTTACAACATACTTTCCCAGCTCAAGCACTAAGCAAAAGGTCCTAGTGGGTTTCAGAGTCATCATATAAACATCATGAAACATATCTGCAGAGCTAGCTACCTTCCACCAGTAAGAGAACGTGCAGGGCTTTGAGTGTCTGCAAACCCAGGGAGCCTCAGCAGGCTTAGGGCTTACCGTCCCTGGATGAACATAAGCTTTAAGACCACGCCTTCTCTTTTCGTGGCTGATGAATGGTGCTTGGTTTGGTTTTTTTTGGATGAATGTTGAATCACACCAGGAAACTCTCTGCACTCCCTCTGACGTGGAGCTCCCCTCCAGCGTTTGGATCCAGGAAGCCCCTGTGCCTTGAGACGAGTTTGGTCGGAGCACTGTGGTCACTGTAATCGCCTCAGCTCCACGTGACGTCTAGTCTTTTCCTGAACCATGACGGCACAGCCCATGCTGACCCGACTGCCGTAGCCACAGCCTTACTTTTCATTGTGTGCATCACTTCCCCGTGTTTCTAGGTGGCTGGAGGGCTCTGTTCTGATACAAACACGCCCATCTACACATGCCACACCATTTTTGCGTGTCTTTTTACTATAACTTTTCCTAGCTCTGGTTCTGCACTGACAAAACAGGAAGGGGCTGACTCTACTTATAAGGCACCTTGGAAATAAAATACAAAATCTGCAAGCCAACCAGGGATTAGAAAACTAGCCAAGAGTCAGTTTTTCTCCAAACTTAGAAAAGTGAATGTTTGGGGGTTTTATATGCAGAGACGTACTCTTGCTTATTTTTCGGCCAAATGGCCTTCCTTTTCCTTTTTCGATACCATAGAGGAACATTTTCATTATATAGTTGACTGTTACTAACAATCAGCATGATCACCCTCTGAGAATTGCCCCAAATCAAACCCGCACCAAACCTACTGCCACAGAGTCAATTTGGACTCAGAGCCCCATATACAGCTCTTCAGACCTTTCTGAAAGCGTGCATCTTTAGGAGCAGGCGGCCTCACCGTTCCCTGCAAGAACTGCCGCAGAACTAGAAAAGGGCGGACTGCTCTTCCGACGTGTGATTTTACCACTGGCAAGATAGACCGGGCCCTCACCTCATCCAACACAACCCAGTGGCCTGCCTTCAGAGCTGCCAGCAGCGGGCCATCACGCCACGCAAACTCGCCTCCCCTGCCACCTTCAACAGGTAAGTCTGCTCCAAACAGGTCTGTGATGTCCTTTGAGAGAGGGAAGAAAGCGGGGAAAGGCGATGTTACACACAAAGATGAACTAGATTCCAAAGCAACAGCCAAAATGACAAGTACATGGGGCTTGTGCGGTTACTGCTTACACTCACACAACACCCAAACCAATGAAGCCTAGCACTGCTGAGGGGCGCAGAGGGCACCCAGTCTTTCCTCATCGTAATGCTCTGAGGATGGATCCACCGGGCCTGGCACCCTGGATGAGTCCTTCTCCACCCTGGACTTAGTTGGTAAATTTTTAAAACAAACAAGCAGCAACAGTGTGAAGGCTCCACTCCCAGTCTCACTTCACGTTGAGGCTCTGTCCTTGATTCCCTTAAGACTGCTACACTTGCTTTACATCTACTTTTTTTTTTTAAGGAAACTATGGAAGATTATATTACAGTAAATAGTCAAGTAATTTTTTCTCTAAAGAGTAATAAAATTATAAGTGTCAGCTAGTAAGAAGCCCCAAACAAGAATTAGTCGGAAGATGCTGTGGAGGTTACATAATTTCACGTCAACTTGAAGATATATAAAAGTGCAGGGGTGGTATTCCACTGTCAGTCAGGTCATCGCCTGATGGTCGGCATGGCCTTCCCATGAGGAAGGCACAGGGAACCCCTTCCCTCCCGGGCTTCACCTTCCTGCCGGCAGACCCTGATGCTGCCAGAGCCCTGGGATGATTACCACCACCGTTGGATCCACAGGACTTTGCGCCCCCGGCCTGTGATCTTCCTGCATCACTGTATGTGGTTGCATGTCTGCAGAAGGACTTGGGGACTAGTGCTGGGCTTATGGACTGGAGTTGGACTGGGCTGGGATGCTTTCTTGAGATAAAATTATTATTGATGTAAAGTTCTTTCTTACACAAATATGAGTGTCACTCGACTTGTTTCTTGAGTCAACCAGGTCTAACAGAGATGCTATGGTCTTCACTACCACATGAAATATTGGGGACACTGACAACAACCTCATGACCATTTCTGAGAAGAAAATTCTCTATCACAGACAACTATTACGATCCAAACTTATCCCCACGAGCGCGCGATGACTGTGCTTACCGTCTGCTCAGACAAGTTGATCCGAACAAGAGTGTTGCCTGAAGCCTTTGCGAGCGCTCCCACCAGACTTGTCTTGCCCACACCGGGGGAGCCCTCCAGGAGAATGGGTTTGTTCAGTTTTGTCGCGCGTAAGAGTCTCTGGGCATTCATTGCTGTAGTGCCAGCGCTGAGAGCATAGTCGGCACTATTGATCCTGTGAAGCACGGGTCCTTCAACAAACAGAAAATAAGGTATAAGCTGGACACCACACTTCAAACTGTACACACACTTCAAAACGAGATGCTGAGAACCCACAAGAACCCAGTAAAGAACCACGTGCACCGAAGATGCTCTGGCCCCGTTTCATTACTTGCCCCCTGGGATCTACAACACGGGAACAGCCAGCACTTTCTTCAATTGTGCCTGCTCCCTTAGAGAGCTCATCTCAAACTACGGTGGAAGTGCACACACATACACACGCAGGCCTAACTGCAAACACTCATCTCTTCTTTTCACCACCTAGACCTCTAATTACTACAGGTGCCTGTGCCCCTTATAAATAGGGGTTTTCCCCTACAAGTCCAATGTAGGCTGGTGCCTAGTGCACCACAGAGCAACGTTATCGGAGGCTTTAGGCCACCACACCCTCCAGGAGATGTCCTCAGCAGCAAGTGCCGGACTGGCAGTCTCACGGGACCACCATGTGGAGAATGAGGGCCGACGATGGCATTTAGTACTTCAGCCGCGGAGCAGGAATAAAGACCACCCCCTCGCAGGCCACTGATACAGTCCCTAAAGGGACCCTGAATACAATCACGGTGGGCCAGAGAAGAGACCTAATGCCTAGATTATATGGGTCCCAAGAAGGGTGAGGAGAGGCACTGCAGAAAAGACAGACCTGAGGTGAGGGAAAGGGCAAGGGGTAGGTCAGGAAGTGTGGCCAGCCTGTTCACCCTTGAGCAGCTAGTAACTTCCACTGCACTTCTCACATGCACCCATGTACTCAATCAACAGACACCTCATTGCCTAAGAATGGCATGCTACGTCTGAAAGCCAAAACATTGTTTAAGATGAGGTACATTTTGGGTGAACAAGTGGACTCAATCATATTACAGAAAGATCTCCTTTTGCACTGCATATAATTAACAAATGCATTTTTACCAGACAATCTATTGCTAGGTTGAAAACCCCATGTTCCTGTATTTTCACATGCTGGTTACACACATTCTGAACCATTTATACAATTATTACAGGTCAGATTCATTCTACGATAGCTAGTTAAAACTGATCTTGGGTCTGGCATACAATGAGCATTGCCTCCCTGCCACCGAGTTGATTCCTACTCAGAGTGGAGCTATAGGACAGAGTAGAACTGCCCCTGTGGGTTTCAGAGACTGTAACTGTTTACAGCGGAGAAAGTCTCAACTTTCTCCCTCAGAGCAGCTCATGATTTCAAACTACTGAACTTGTGGTTAGTAGCCAAATGTGTAACCCACTACACTACCAGGGCTCCTGGCAAAGTCACTATAGCAATCAAATATTTCTATCACAAGAAGCGTATTGTCAAAAGAGTGAACGATTATAAAAAAGAAAAAAAGAAGCATATTGCCATTGATTTAAAATGATGCTTACCTCTTGGTATAAAAAACGGATGTATTCCCCAAAGGTTATCTATCCCAGTGAACTCTTTGGCTTTGAGCCTGTCATAAATCTTCAACTCATTTTTCTGACCTTCTGTAAGTCGGACTATTTTGGAAAGTTTCTTGCTTAGGAATTTCAGACATTCTTCTCGAGCCAAGAGGGCCGTACCAAGCCCAGAAGTTGTTACTCCTAAAACACAAGTGATCAGTCCATCATGCGACACCCAGCAGCACACAGCCGCGCAGCAGAAGCTCCTGGGCAGACTGCGGGGCAGTGAGGACCTGCCAGAAATGTAGACCAAGGACCGTGTCTAGACAGGCTGTGCTAAGAAGGAAGTCTGTCCCTGCTGCTTACAGAGCCTCGGCTGAGCAGGAGCTGACTCAAGAAAGAATTCCAGCCAATCTACATTAGCCCAGAAACGGAGTGATTAATGCGGTATTAGCAACTATTTAGTTTTTATGTCAAGTCTTCCTAACTGAAAATGTAGAATTTTAATACTTAATTGGATAAACTTATAATATATGAAACAAATTAATCCAAGTATATTAACTATAGGTAGTTATAATGTCAGTAATAATTCTAACTATGAATATAACCACCTTTGCTATGGATTTATCCAGCATTTCAAAGCTGGACCGTTTTTTTTATTAAAAGATCATTTTAGTGGGGCTCGTACAACTTAGTGTAATCCATACATCAATTGCATCAGGCATATTTGTTCGTATGTTGCCGTCACTCTTTTCTAGACATTTCCTTTCTTTTGAGCCCTTGGTATCAGCTCCTCTTCCCTCACTGCCCACCCCCGGGATAGATTATTATTTTCTTATCTCACACCGACCACTGTGTCTCCCTTCCCCCATGGTTTGTCGTGCTTCCTCCTGGAGTGGGGTGTGTGGTTAGGTGTCGATCATTGCCATCAGTGCCCCTTACCTGGATGGTATCGCCATTCCCATTCCTGGGCTACCTGTGTCGTGAGCCCTATCTCGTCTATCCCTGTGTCATGCTCCGGTCTCCACTGAAGGGAGCAGGAGCAGTGGGGTCATGACAGTGGGGGGGAGGAAGCCTCAAGGAACCAGAGGAACAGTGTGTGCTTCATCGGTGCTATACTGCACCCTGGCTGACTCATCGCCTGCCCTGTGACCCCTCTGTGGGGGGGAATGGTCCATTGTCTACAGATGGGCTTTAGGTCTCTGCTCCGAGCCCCCCTCCCCTCCACCCCCACCCCCATTCTCAATATGTTTTTGTTTGTTGTGGGTCTTCTGATGCCTGCTATCTGATCCCGATGACACCTCATAAGCACACCAGCTGGTGTGCTTCTTCTACGTGGGCTTGTTGCTTCTCTGCTCGATGGCTGCTTGTTTAACTTCAAGCCTTTAAGACCCCAGACGCTGCATCTTTTAATAGCCGGGCACCACCCTCCTTCTTCATCATGTTTGCTTATGCACCCATTTTGTCTACAGCGATTATGCTGGGAGGGTGAGCATCACAGAATGCCACTTTGTTAGAACAAAGTGTTCATGTATTGAGGGAGGGCATGAGCAGAGGCCCGAAGTCCGTCCACTACCTCAGCGTATTGCCATATAAATATATGTACTTAGGCAAATACCTCTATTTTTATGGATGAATGTATTTACAAAGGAATACACCTATACTTATACCTCTAGCCATAGCTTTGCTTCCTAGATCATTTGTTTCCTTTTACCTTCCTCCTGCCCTACCATCACACTCGCCCTACTTCCCCCTCGCAGTACTTTCTCTCAGCTAGATAGATAGCTGTTGCTCCAACACCCCCAGGATCTCTACATCCTCCTTGTTGTTGACTGTAATTCCCTAGTTGTTCCCCTGTCTATGACGTTGTTTGCTCACCACACTCTTCCCACCACCTTCCCCCACCAAGTCCCTCCAGAACCATTAATCCCGTTGTTTTTTCCTCAAGCTTGCGTCCCATGCCTATCTTATATAGGTAGGCAAATCAACAATGACATAGCCCAAACAAAAGACTGAAAAAAGAGAAAAAACATACATAACTCCTGGTCTGTCCACTGACCTTTCTGACTATGCCCCCCTCGTCCTGAGGGAATCCTGGGAGCTGTTCCTGCTAGCCTGAAGTCTATTGGTGGGGGGCTCTTTAGGCAGCAGGACCATTTCCAATAGTTTTCTTGCTACGCATTCTCCTGGTTTCATATTTACTAAGCCCTGGTCTACAAGCTATGAGGAATTTTGGCATACGATGTGAAGGGCCTCGGGCAGAAGAAGAGAAAACTGAGAAGGGCAGACATTTTTAGCATGGAAGGGTTAATGCCTGGGCTTGCTCTTCTTTCCCACCCGCCCGCCACTCCTGTGCTCAGCCGCACCAGCTTAGCAGACATCATACCTGATCCTATTCCATCTATGTACACCAGGCATGCGGCGTGGACAAAAGATGTCACGGTGGAGACAGGCTCTGGCCTCTTCAAAGCAGCTTCTTCTCCCATTGTAATCATGAAATTCACCCAGGACAGAATGTCGCGGATGCTGACGACACAGCTGCGGCCAAACTCCTGATGCCTCAGCCAGTCGATGAAATCCAGCATGACCTCCGCGATGTCCGTGCCTGAGGGGGCAGAAGCAACTGCTGTGTGTTGGGAGATCCCGGAACAAGTGTTTAGATACCCTGGGACCCACTGAGAAGGCCTAGAAGGAGCCCGTGCTTCCTCAGAGCATTAGTAAAATTTCATAGGGGGTCCTCTCATGTATTTATCTCAGAAGGGAGGGAGTTCGTGAATAGCATCCTATGTCCATGGCCCCTTTAAAAAAAAAGACTTGTCAATGGTAGTCTAATGTGCTACCCTAAAATCTGCTGAAAAATTATTTAAAATAAAGCATTCACTTGGCTTATGTTCAGGTTATTTTTTAAGTTACTGCACAATAATTTTAGAAAACAGTGCTTGCTTCGGCAGCACATATACTAAAATTGGAATGATACAGAGAAGATTAGCATGGCCCCTGCGCAAGGATGACACGCAAATTCGTGAAGCGTTCCATATTTTTAAAGAAAAAAAAGAAAGAAAAGAAAACATACCAATTTTACTATATTTCAAACGAATAATTCACAGTGCCACTTTTGTGTAGCATTTAGTTTTTGGGTTTTGTTTTGTGTTTTGAAGGAGAGGTTTGTTTTTATTGGTAAAAATTTGAGAAATTAAGCGGTTTACAAATTTTAGCTCAAGTTACATAACTTATTAGAGTGTCTATTGTTAATTTTAAAATTAAAAATGGCAAAATATCTGAAAAAGTGGGCACTGCTTGCTAAGTAGCATACACAGAAGGCGGAATTTCTTGCTTGGAGAACCCTAAGACTGTATCACTGGTTATTGGGCATTTAGAAAAGCTCAGCAAGGGTGGTTGCACACTCGTAGAAGATCTTCGACACCTTTGAATTACACTTTTACAAAGAGATGCATTGGCCTGTTTTGTTGTATAAACTAGGGCGCTTCAGAAAGATCAGGAGAATATTCCATAATCTTTACATTTAATTTTTCTACAACCTTTGTGAAGCCCCCTTTCATTTTTATCACAATTTTAGAAAGACAAATCCTGAGATACCCTAAAAAAATTGAGGTACAAATACCAAAGAATGTTTTTGTCTAAAAAAGTAACAAAAGGTAATGATGAACAATAAGCACTGTTGCCGTATAAAATACATAGCAAAAGGCTCATTCTACACTATGAATTGGTTAGAAGAAAAATAATCAATTGAATGCTCACTGTATGGGGGAGGGGAGCCAAACCTTTACAAAGAATTTATAATGATAAAAATGATCATTAAAAATTCCAGTGAAGAAAGAAATCTAATACTGTTTCAGCAACCAGATATCAGGCACAAGTACTTGGATCCACACACCTCAGAGTGAAAAAACACAAAACATCACGTATTTAGCTTAAAAAACATTTTTTTAACTTATCCGTTTAGTAGAAAGTCAATCATGACACTGAAGAAACAGGTAGATCCGTTTTTATGTATTTTAAGGCGAATATTACAGGCAATAAAATATGGAAAAATGAATACAATAAAATTAATCAAGAATACTGCCCCAAAATATGTGCTGAATACTGTGGAGGCTAAAAGCCTATGTGGAGCGTACAACAAAATGGAAAAGGAGCCAGCAGTCCTGACAGTTTGGAGAATACAGCCAATATATAGGGTTCCAGAGCGCAAATGCTTCAGGTGACAAGACGCTAAACTTCACAGCTAGTACTAGGGGGTCTTCTTACAGTTTACATGTAACTAATAGGCACACAGCCCAGACAGGCCGAGGTCTAGCTATACGGAAACCTGCTTGGCAAATTTCCAAATAGCTAGCCCTGTGTCTCTCGTCTTACTGCCGAATACAATTCTGAGTAAGGGTTTTAAGAGATCTTTTCATCAGTCCCCAAAAGTTTCATTCACTCGGCCTTCCCTGACTTTCTTTGCTCCTTGAACGATAAAAGCCCTACACAATCTCACCTTGGGTACAACACCCAATCTTATATTATCTGTTGGCCAGTTCTCAACTAATAAATCTCCAGCACCGTTGTAATACTTAGAAATTGTTCAACAATACATACATATACCACGATAGCTAGTTTTTTTAATAACCCACTGTCATTGAGTTGATTCCAACTTATAGTGATTCCATGGACAGAGTAGAACCTGCTTCCACTGAGTTTCCAAGACTGTAACTCTTTACAGGAATACGGAGCCTCACCCTCCCTTCGAGGAGAGAAGTTGGAAAATCTTGCAGTTAGCAGTCCAACATGTGACCCATGGTGCCACATATAAAATGTGGCTGAAAAGACGCCATGGCACCAATTAAACAAAACAAATCACAAAGGTAAAATAATAGATTTCATTATATTACGAAATAAAAACCACATGTTGGAAAGACTATGAGTAGCAGACACATTTACTAATTAGCGGCTGGTTGCACTGTGGGGGTCAGGAGAGCATTCTGGCCACGTGAAGCTCAAGGAAGTCATTCAAAACCACATATGAAAACGGTGCTTCCAGCAACACTGTTCTGAAGAGGAGTCAAACAACAAAACACAGCCTACGTAAACTTTGTCAGAGAATGCTGCTTTAAAGGACATCCATTTCATGCCTCTTTTATGGTCAATAAAAATTATGAATATGTTGTTGATAAGAGTGCTGCTATAAAGATCGGAGCCCCCCAAATACTAGAGCAATAAGTAGAACCTAACATGGGATGCTTAGTAAGATGGTAATGAAAATATGGCGAAGTACTCTGATTAGGATGAGAACTCAATTTAGAATACTTAAATTACTGGGTTATCAAAATTGATGAGATGTCATATTCAATAAACCTTAGCTACGGTATTTTTAAATAATGAGCTGTGCCTTTATTTCCTGCTTGACATTTCACAATTTTAAAAGAAATGTTTTTACATTCTATCATCCTAATCCATTTCCAGGTGACAACGCTGTTGAAAATGATTAATTCTCTCGTACTCTTCCATGGCCCCTCAGGGTCTCTAATGCTCCCTGGGGAACCTGGAGAGCCTGGAGTGGTACACAAGCCCCCTCAGGACAGGCAGGAAGGCAAGATCGTGGGGCTCCCATGCTGGCTGCCCTATAGAGAAACTCTTCATTTCCATCGCACTTTAGCAATAGTGCAGCTGTGGAAAGAATCTGTGCTCATCACAATCCATGGAACTTAAAAAGGAATCAACTGCCCAAAGGGGGTTCAGAAGTTCCTTTCTGAAGGGACGCAGGCCTTAATACAGAGCTACACATACACCATGCCTGCTGGGCAGTTTCATCCTCTGCCCTGCCTCCATCTTTCCCTCGGAGCCTCACAGTAAAGGTGCCCTTGTCAACAGCACAGCCTGGGCCGGTCGGTGGTCTGTGTGTGGGGCATGGACCAGCCAGCATCCCTGGCATCACCTGAGACCTTATGAAAAGGGAAAATCTCGTGCGCCTCCACACCTACTCCCCTGAACGTGGGGACCAACAAGTCATCCAGATACCTTCAAGAACACAGACCTAGTCCATGTGTGTCTCATTTGGGTGACTATCAAGTTGGGGGGCCTGTTCAACAAGAAATAAAACAGTTGTGGTCACACCCATTTGTTTGGGCAGCCCTGTGTACTTAACCGTGGCAGTTCTACGCAGCTCTTATGGGGAAGTCTTCAATATTTGCTCAATGGGCCAGAAAACCAAGCCAAAAATCAAGACAATTACAACTCTAAGCAACCCTACAGGCTAAGACAAAACTGTCCTATAAGAGTTTCCAAGGTGGAAAATCTTTACGTGAACTTCAACTTTCTCCCAGAGTCCTGGCTGGCGGATTCAAACCATTGACCTTGCGATTATGAGCCCACTGTGTAACCCACTAAGCGCAGAGGATCAGTCTTTCCTAACAGACAACAGGAGGTCCTGGAACCAGGCTCTAAATTTAACCCAGCAAATGCCTTAGATAAATATCAAAGCAATATGGCTCATCTTAGACAAACAAAACATGAAATAATTTTGTTTTACTTTTATTAAAACAAAGACCTATGCCATCTTGGCTCTACATTCATAGGAGTTTTTCATATACTATTTTATTTTCCTCATGTTTTAAATGGGTCATAATAAGTGAAAAATTAAATGAGAAAATAATCAATTAGCTAGTGGAGGCTTAAGAAATACAGTTTAAAATTCTCTATGTATTTTCCCAAGGTAGTGATGACCAAAATTTCAACAAACCATTCTCCACCTTTAGTTATAAATACAAGCCATCCCTAAATCATGAGCAAGTTCCATTCCCAAATCTTTCCATCAACCAAATGTGTATATAAGCAGGCACTGTTGGGAACAAATTGAGTCCAACATCAGTTTGTCAACTGTCTAGTGTTAATACAGTAATAAAGTGTACTTCTCTATGCATTAAAAAAAACCTTTTCAGATGCACTAAAACATCTTTACCATAACGATCCCATAAAAATAAAGTTTTAATGTGTGTTACAAAGCAGCACTGTACATAGCTCAAAATGTTTACTAGGTTTTATGGAGACTGGTTAGTAACTGTGGGTCATATACTGAGAGGGACAGCCTATACACTTCATCTAAATATAAAGATGGCCACAGCTAGCATAATAAGAAAGCCAGAAATAAATAACCTTGGTGAAGGAGGCAATATGAGCAAGGGACATTTTAATAGAAGGTACCAAGCCTAGAACATGTTAAAGAATATGTTATCTTTAGAGGCATGTTGGCCTATTCTCAACCTCATTTCTCCCTGTCACACACTTTATCTAAGTATTGCTAACATCTGATACCACACTCCTCACATGCATATCTATAGTACAACCACCGGCACTTTCTCACCTTTATGATCTATTCTGCCCAGAGACAATCCTGGACGAAGATTGCGACTGATAATCTGCATCAAATCTTCACGGCTTGAGCTTTGAGGACACCATATTTCAGTAAACCGGTTCCTTAAGGCAGGAGACAGCTACAAGGAACATAAATGTCTATGTAAATTTAAAACCTATGAGGAGAGCTGGAAAACTAGCCCTTTGAAAGACAGGAGGCTGTGCATCTACATGCTTCTTTTATTAGCTACCACAAGAAGCCACTTACTGGAGACCTCTGTCCTGGCTCCCTATGTATGCCCCACCCCTCACTCTCCACCACTGCCCCTCCTTTACTGACAGGGCAGAGCTCCAAAGCCCTACAGAGAAAGTGGTGCTAGCCAGACACCAACCCCTGGGTGACTCCCAAATCTAAACTCTTTCCCTTAAATGCAGATTCACCCTTTATCTTTAGAACCAATGCTACAGAGACAATAAGAGCTCTCTTCCCACAGGGAAGGGCTCTTTTTTTAAAATTTTTAAAAACATTTTATTAGGGGCTCATACAACTGTTATCCCAATCCATACACACATCAATTGTGTAAAGCGCATTTGTACATCGTTTCTCAAAACATTTTCTCTCCACTTAAACCCCCGACATTAGGTCCTCATTTTTCCCCTCCCTCCCCACTACCCCCTCCCTCATGAGCCCTTGATAGTTTATAAATGGGTATTTTGTCATATCTTCTCCTGTCCGACGTCTCCCTTCGCCCACTTTTCGGTTGTCTGTCCCCCAGGGAGGAGGTCAAGGGAAGGGCTCTTGAAGAAGGAGAATGGTTCTTTTATGTGGCTCAAAGGGGGTAAATTTTTAAGGGAGGATAAACACTTTATATAACAAAGAATTGGTTAGCCTCTCCAACTTTAGGCCAGGCCTTTCCTTTCCCTTCCCTATGTCAGCTAGCCCTAATGAACCTTCCCTTTTTCACAACGACAAAGCATGAAAGTACTTTGCAGTCATTGTTTTTCCTGTTTATCTGATGATAAACTCCAGCGTGCACCTAGTCTACCACAAAAAACCCCAGGGCCACTTCAGTGCTCATACTCAGGAGCAGCCTAACCAAGACCTAGTGAATGCCTGCAGGTTCCTCCCTCCTAGACAAGGAGCACCTGGTAAACAGGTAAAACCAAAGAGCAGCTTTCCAATGGGTAAAGGTTGGTAATCTTTATATTAAGGAAAACTTAATATAAACTAATCCAACAGGCAAGATATACAATCTGGAAATCATCTTTTTGTGGTGTTTCCACCAGCCAAAGAACCAATTCATGCTTATATTCTGAGTCTGAGGCTATGCGTCTTCCTTCTCTTGGGGCACTTCATGGAGCAGGCGAACCTTATGCTCCTGAGGAAAAGCAGCCAGCTGCCGTCCAGTTAGTTCTAAGTCAGGGTGACCCCACCTGGGTCTGCTCCAGAGTTTCCAAGGCTGACTGCTCTGGTGGACGTGCACCAGGCCTTTCTTCCACGGTGCCTGTGGGTGGACTTACACTTCTGATCTTTCAGTTAGCAGCCAAGTGCGTTTGCCATTCGCATTAGCCTAGAAGTCTCGGCTAAGGAGAACTCGGCCCCAAATCTTATGTTCACATTTCAGAAACTCATCAAGTTTACGTAACTAAGAATCTTAACTATTCTCACTTAAGATTAACTTCCCTGTTTCTACTCTCAGTATTCCTGAACACTAAAATCCTCTCAGTAACAGGCCATATATGCTGCGTATATGCTGACATCTCCACCAGAAGGCTTCGAGAGCCTGGAAGGCACTGGGCTGCTGCTTCCTAGCAGGGCCCAACCACAGCTCTAAGCAGGGGCTGCTCTTCTTTCCCAGCAATCCAGTAGGGACCACAGGGCATGCAGGAGGACAGGAAGTTCTAACTGCAAAGCTAAAATAGGTTTCTGGCTATAAGCGTTTTTATTTGTTTGGCGGCTTTAAAATCACTCCTAAAGCGAGATTGGTGTTTAAGGGACTGCAATTTTTAGTTGTCACTTTTGTCGTTTGCAAAACTGGAATAATGTAGGCAATGAGTATAAAGGGCTAGATCAAGGGACTATAATTAACTATCAGGCACATCCAGAAATAGAGAAGTCCGATAATGAAATGTCTATATGGAAGAATTATCGTCTAAAACAAGTTGTCATCAAATGAATAACAATTCCTGGTAACCCCACAGTGATTCTAAAATTAACCTCTCGATATTCATCTTTTTAATCCAAAAATAACATTCCAAATCAGTTTTACAAACTGCAGTTTGGGTACTAGTTCAGCAAGTAAAAAACTTTGCTCTAGAAAACATGGATTTACCTCCTTTTTTCCAAAGTCGCCTCCAGGGTTCATGGTCGCGAGGATACGGAATTTTTTTCCAGCAGTCAGTATCTCTACTTCATTATCCTTGTCCTCTAAGCTGCCTTTCTCGGCTAATACTAGAGACCTTTCCACCTCAAGGACACTGAAAGAAAGAAAATTGCAAGATGTTTCTAGATTAGCAAAAGCTTCTGATTCGCTCTGTTCTGCGGTCCTCCGTGTTCTTTAAAGGGGCGGCGCTTCTGCTGGGCCTTCACCGAGTCTGCTGAGGTGATGCGTTCCTGCCGTGAACGTAAAATCACTCAGTCTCAAAGGTCGGTGCAAGAGTGTTTCTGTTCCTGAGAAAAGTAACACCTTTTTTCACTGAGCTGTAGTAAGGCATTTGTCTTTCTTAATTGGGATCTCACACAATATCATTCAAAAAAGATGAAATGTAGAATTACCCAAATGCTCACCAACTGGTAGATAAACAAAAGGTTGTTCATCTACACCATGATTACTTTTAAGACTAAAAAGGAACAAAATATTCAGACGTGGTATGAGGAGAAAATATTGATGCATGATGCATTGAAAGAAATCAGACACAAGACCCCATGTCTATGAAATGTCCAGAAAATGCAGATCTACAGCAACAAAAAGTAGACTGTAGTTGTCTAGGAGAGGAGATGGGATCGGGCATTAGCCCTGTGTCGGAGGGATTTTACTGGGGTGATGTATCCAAAAACTGAATTGTAGTGGCTGCAAACTTAGTAAATATGCCCAATCCCTTTCAATTATACATTTAAAATGGGCAGGTTTAATAATGTGTAAATTAGGCATTACTACATCAAGAGTCATATTGCTGTGAGGTTTTGAGCTATCTTACAGTCATAAGATCTAGAATTCTGCTTCTAGTTCTTTTAAAATATTGAATTAGTAGGCACATAATTTACCTAAAAAAGGGAATTTTTAGCTCAGCCCAGCTATCCAATATGCACCTATTTTTCTGATTACTAATAGCAAAAAAAAAAAAGCCATCTAAGTCTCTGGCACTTTAAGGAGAGCTAAAACCAAAACAAGGAGTCAACATCACTTCCACACACTCACAATGCACCCATGAGAGGCACTACCATCCACGGGAATTATTATCTCTAAGTACCACACCAGTAGTCGTCCAATACAAGGGAAAAGCTCTTATGCATATACCTGTTGAGTCTTTCTAAAACAGAGTCATCAGCCAGCGAGATCTCATCCAGAAGGAAAAAGCCACCTTCCTTCATGGCCAGAACCAGAGGTCCGTCATGCCACTCAAAGAGTCTTGGTGTACCAATTTCTTCCTATAATTGGGGAAAGGACCAGGGAGGAATGAAAGGGCAGGCGGCACCACAAGCTAATACACAAATATCAGTGTCTGCGCCTGCGAGGGTCAGTCTGCCGGAAGGTAGGTGCTAAAAGAGGGACACAAAACTATGGGCCATGACCCTAATGAAGGCCCCGGGTAGCAAAGCTAGTAGCTGCAGATCACATAATCAAACACAACCTAACTGGAACCTGGAAACCCGTGTGAACAAAATCCCAGCTGACTCATTCACACTGTAGTTCTTCAAACCAGAGACCACTTTGCCATCTGCTATGCAACAAACCTTGTCCTTGGGTTTCTGTCTGACTGGCCGCAGGCCCCCCAGGAAGTCTGACGTCTCCATATGTAAGTGGCAGTTGACTGAATATAATTTCTGGTTTGCCAATGCTGCAAATACCTGACAGATAGTAGTTTTCCCACACCTGTTACAGAGAGAGACCAGTTTAGCAAGGGCCAGGTGCTCCAAATACACACTGAAGAACACCCACCCCAGTGAGCCGACAAGCGGACCACAGCCCAAGCCTTTCTGCAGTAACTGACGGTGCTGGACAAGACGCCTGTCCTCAAAACCAACACCGAGCATGGTGCTGGTTGGTCAGCACCTCACTAATTCTGTCCTTCCTAATCCTACTAATAACCACGAAGGGATGGAAGGGAACCCAATCCTTCAGACTTTCCAGAGGCACTAGCTCATCTGCCCTTCTCCATACATCGAACTATGAATCTCACGGTCTAAAAAATAATAGAAAAAAACAGCCCAAATGATAATGATGCAAGAGTATATTCTTTTCCCAAAATAAGAGAACTTTAGTCTGAAGGTAGAGGAAAGCAAGCAACAATGAGCCTCGTACTTGTTTCTTTAAAAAAAAAAGAAGGAAGGTTAAAATCAAGACTGATTTCCGACTGGATCTTTCAGAGGTCTAGATCAACTACAATCCTATGTGTGGAGCTGTCTGTCCCAGGACGTTACCCAGTGTCTCCAATCAGCAGCACTGGTTCACCAAATTCCAATGCCCTTCCCACAAGGACAGCCAGCCTCCGCATGCCCTCAGTCCACACAAGGTGGCTGAACGTGGACTCCAGGGTGGACGTCGGAAGAGACAATTTACCTGTACAATGCAAAAGGAATATTAGAATTGTCAGTATCAGCGCAAATTGAGTTATTCTCTCCTGGGCTTTCTGGCCTACTCACCCAGCAATTTTAGGACATTTTCTTTGGAGAAGAGAGATGGAGGACACAGTTTTTTCTTAAAATGTTTCTCAAGAACTTCCTGAATTACATCTACCTCTTCCTGCTTCCTGACTCGGCCTGCCAGAAGCATAAAACCTTAAAAAAAGAAGAAGAAATGGCTAGCGGCAACAACACGGGTTTGTAAGACTACAGAGCATTAGCAACTCATTCACTGCCAGTGAATGCAGAAAGCTGACCAACGACTTTGGACAGCATGAGAAGCTGTTACAATGGCCCGGAAACACTGGGAAAGTAAAATAAAGCAGATCACGAGATTGCCAGTTCAGTGGGTTTATGGCAAGCAACCCAAGTGTACACAGGTCTCTGTCATCGGTGGATGGTGGCTGACAAGTTCTCTCAATAATACACGTTTCTTACTCTCATAAGGCACCTTCAAAAGAGGCCCCATCAAAACAGTGGCTCTAAGGCAATGGTTCTCAACCTTTCTAATGCCACGACCCTTTAATACAGTTCCTCATGTTGTGGTGACCCCCCCAACCATAAAATTATTTTCGTTGCTACTTCATAACTATAATTTTGCTACTGTTATGAATTGGGCAACCCCTGTGAAAGGGTCGTTTGACCCTCAAAGGTGTGGCAACCCACAGGTTGAGAACCACTTTGGGGACCTGCTCTGTAGGGCCAGTTCAACTCAAGGCTGAGAGGTCAGCCCAGAGAGGGTATGCTGACTGTCTGTTGGGATCCCAGAGGAATTCTCTTAATGGATTAATCTAAATAGATTTCCCTGAAGGACACAGAATGATCAAGAGTTTATGATGAACAAGTTTTATGAAAACTGCACTGGGGAAATAAAGGCCAAGAAAGTTGTGCTGAGGGTTGTTTTTTTCAAATAGGACTTGCACCTGCTCATTCTGAGGGTAGCAAGGGCTGTCGAATTAGAAGTTCATAGGAAAACCTTACCCACTGCATCGGCCCTACAGCCCTGACATTGCAGGTGAGACTTCTTTTGGTTCCCAAACAGGAAGAACACCCCTATGGAACATGATTTGAGTACTCTGGGGGCATACACACTGCTGCTTGGACCTGGAGTAACTCCAGAGCCCAGGGGCCTTTTAAGAAATGGTCAGAAAGCTGTAAACGGCACATTCTGAAGTAACAGATCTTGATGTAAAAGCTGTATCATCAAGAACAGTATCTTTACATTTGATCTTTAATAAATATTTCTTTGATCTTGTAGGAATGGATTTTGACTTCAGTACACACAAACAAAAATGAGCAAATGCATGCAACAAAAGATGTGTATGTAGAAGAATATGCATATCGCTTTTGTTTTCAATAGGTTAAGATGGAAAACAACTTGTCTACCCACAAGAACTGGATAAAAAAACATGGTATCTTCATATAAAGGGTTTCCACACAAGCACCACAAAACTAAGAATGAAGTACTGGTGTGTCCAACAGCACGGTTAAGTCTCACATCAGGCTGAGGGAAAGAGTTAGAACCTACAGATAGATGCATGCTTCCGTGTAGGAGAAGTTTGGCACAGACAAAATCCATTGATGGCAATTGGCATGAGGGGTGTGTGCCATTCCTTAGGGAGGTCACTGGCTGGCAGAAGACATGAGATGCTCATTCACCAGATTGTAAACAAAGTATGAGTGCACCTCATCCACTTTGCAATGTGCTTCACCTCCATAAAAAGGCTTTTTAGACTGCGCTCTTCCCTCTAGCTATCCTTTACCAGTGCAATGGATAAAGCTCTGCTGGGCTATTTCCATTTACTTCCCCTTTTCATTAACCACCCTAATAATAACTTATCAGTACTTTTCTATCTGAAGACCTTGACATGCTTTCTATTACGTAAACTCTTCTTAGGGATTAAATCACAATAACCAAACCTGAGCCTCGCACAATACAACTACCCTATCTGCGAATGCTGACAGTATCTGAAATGAACAGATTTCCCTATGTGCCTGAGGCACAGGCACAAGCACAAATATCAAAGGTCACCACACGCTGGTGTGCTGCTACACAAAAGTGGTGGACAAGCTACCACCCACCAGCCTGAATTCCCAAAGGGACTGTGCCCATATCCTGACTGCGACACGCATCCCTCTGAAGTGGGGGGCGAGGGAAGCTCACGACAGAGGCCTGCAGCAGTTAAGAGCATTTATAGTAACGTTTGGGACTTAAGGGAGAAGAGCCATTTCAGGAATACCTCATGAAATGTGCGTTATCAATCATAATATGGGACAAGATTTATTTTAACCAAAAGTTTGACACCTGACATAACTTTATAGCTTGGGAGCATTTGCTTGGAAACATACCATCATTGGCTAAATGCTGGAGCCAGTCATATTCCTTCTCTGTCTGCTCAGCCAATCTGTACCTCTCAGCCCAGCGGAAGAGATCACGAAGCGTGATGAAGCCTTGCTTTCCGGCGAACACCGAGGAGCCTCTGCGAAAGGACTACGCAAGCATAAGGGCAGATGGAAACGGGCATTAGTGGTGCTAGTTGGCACGCAAGTAGAACTTAACATAAAATGCCTACTGAAGTGACTGCGCTCTACTGAATAAGATGACATCAAAAACAAGACGCGCAAGTGGATGAAATCAACTGAAAATAAAAGTTCGGATTCATGTGGATACAAGCAGTGAATTTCCCTCTCTCATAAAGTCATATAGAAAAACTTTGTAAACTGCAAGACAATGCGTACCATAATGGTAAAATAAACAAATTACTTCTCAAAATATAATTTGACATATATGCTTTGGGATAAAGTAGCTTTCAAACCCATTAAATAACGTAAGCTACTCAGAGTCTCTTTAATTATATCTGCTCAAGGACTATATCCATCCTGTCTCAGTATCAGAACTATTCAATATACAGTGAACCCTCGCCACTTTGCGCTTCGACTTCCACGGCTTCACTCTATCGCGGTTTTTGTGTAACAGCGCATGCTCTGTCATTACTGCCACTGATTGGCTCATACTGTACACGCTTCTGTCTGCATC